TACATTTCATTGTCGGAGTACAATATCCTGACTTTTTTTCTTCTTCTAATAGTCATGTAAACATTCTGGGAAAGAAATGAGATGAAAACATTCTGGGTAACAACACTAAAAAGCATGTCAAAGGAGGAAGCTGTGGGAACGGAGCCTCTGCTACTAAGTAAGATGCCTCTTTGGTTTCAGCTCTCCAAAACCCAAGGTTACACCAGAGGGTGTCAAGTGAACTCCAAGCCGTGCCTGAAAACCACCTTTGCTACATATCTTTTTTCTGATCCCAATACACACATCTGGGTCTTGAGCCGACCTCTTTAAAGGTGGACTAGCCCGGAGGACTCCGGCTTAGCTGAAAATATCTGGAGCCTGTCCAGTGAGTGCTTTCTCTCTCGGGCCTTTACAAGAACATGACCTATTTCAGTCAGAAGGGGGACAAACAGGCCTGTTCTTTTTATTCCTGCCATGTTTGCAATCTTGCCTCTTCTTGCTAATTTGAATACCAATTTAAGCATATTGATCAGTATTTGTATGCCGTGTAGTGTTCTTGTAATACTTTGTATACACTTTTGGATTAGGTTTTTCGGCGGTTAACCTCGTTGATGATTTTTTTTGCAGCAGAAAACAGGTCAATATGTTGCCGACGTTCAGGGGTCTGCCCTCAATCCTCCGCACTAGCTGGCCTTTACCTAATAGCACATTAAAGTGAGTCACAGGATTTTCTTCACATGGGACATTTATCTACAGGACACCGGGATTCCCGTGGCTCAGGCCGGATTACAGACCTATGATTAGTGCTCGCAGTGGTGCTTTCCCAGGATTTATTGTTTGATATTATTATACTACCAGCTTGCAAATATTGCAGACATTAACAGTCCTTGTGAAAATGTTTTTACTTGCGGCCGAGATAAGTACATGTTTTACATACAGTAATGCACCATATGGCTTAAAGGCACAGTGTGTAGCATTTATATATGGAAGATAATATTTATAACTATGTTTTCTTTTGTGTATAATCAGCTAAAATACCAATCATTGTGTTTCCGTTGGATTAGAATGAGCCGTTTGTATCCACATAGTTCCTGGAGCCGGCCGCCATGTTTCTACAGTAGCCCGGAATGGACAATCCAAACACTGGCTGTAGAGAGGGCCATTCGCGCTTTCCCGCTTGTCGACCACCATAGTTCTCCTACACACTCGGCTCTTGGGAGAAGTTGCAGTGGGTTGCAATCTGTAATTTAGGTGCCGCCAAATCCTACACACTGCACCTTTAAGCAAATAATCAGCTCGGTGCTGTTTGGCAACATGTGTCCCCAGGCAGTGAAGGGTTACACCTCATGGAAACAGGAAAAACTGGACTCAAGTGCACAACCCAGACAGCACAATAAGGTGAACAAGAACACTAGGACAACCACTGGCATATAAGACAGAGATGACAGAGATGTAAGACAGAGATGTGGGTGATTAGACACAGGTGGGATCAATCAGCAACCACAGTGGCCTGAAAACACACAAAGGCAGGAGGTGAAGTGATCTGAAATGTGAGGAGAGGTGAAAATAAAACAGGAAATACTGAAACTAGGGAACACAGGTGTTGCACAGAAAAAGGGAGGGACGACCACAAAGACAGGAAGTCAAACAAACACGGGACACAAAAGGCAGGGAACTTCAAAATAAAACAGGAAACATGGCATGAAGTGGTGTGTAAGTAGAGCTGGACGATAAATGGATTTTATCAATTCATTTGGACTCAAGGTTAAGGACGATTATGGAAAAATGACAATTGATTTCTACTTAAAAGTTGGGTAATTACGATATGGAACCACCACAACCGAAAAGAGAAGCGCTTTGCACCTCTTTGGGCACCGGCTGAAGCCAAAAAACAGTTTTGAGGTCGTCCCCTTGGGTGCTGGGAAATTGCGATGTCCTTTTTTTTCACGGTTTTCTGACATTGTATTGACAAAATGATTAATCGATCAGTCGACAAAATGATCAGCAGATAGCTGTTAGTTGCAGCCCGAGGTGATAAAGAAACGTGTCACTCAGAGTGGCTTATTGATTGTGTTTTCAATAGTTTCTGGAGAACAATGGAGCTTTATGGCACAGAGAAAGACGTTATATATCGGGCTTTAGACAATACTTAGTGGACATACATTCACTGTTGGGGTCTTTTTGAGCAGATTTGTTGAAAATTCAAAAAATATAGAATATCACTGGACTGCTGACAGAATATAATGGCGCCGTGATTGTCTGTCCGTCCGGTCCATTCTCGTAAATGCGATATCTCAGGAACACCTGGAGGAAATGTCTTCAAATTTGGCGCAAACTTTTTTGGCCATAACTCCAGAATTGCTGCATGGTGGTGTTGTGGCTAGTATCGTTGCCTCACAGCAAGAGCGGCCTGGGTTCGATACCCGGGTTACCCCCACCCCGTGACCCTGAACAGGATAAGCAGGTAAAGATAATGGCCACGTGAAGAAGTGATGACATTAAACATCACTTCTTACAGCTTACCGTTTCAGTAAATAAACAAGCTTTGGTCAACCGTGTGATTAAAGGACGACCTGTTACAGTACTACTACAGTGATAGTATGCAGTAGATGGGTTAAACAAGCGTTCAGGATCGGGCATCAAACGCTGTGTGTGTGTGTGTTTGGCCCTCAGGATTGAAAGTGGTGCCATAGAGCTGGGGGTGTATACAAGCCCTAAGCCCACAGCTCATTATCACAATGCCCCATTATAGTCCGTGGATTAAGGTTGTGATGAAACACAAATCTCATTTCCACATCCAGAGCTCAAATCAAGCCAGCATACAATTCCCGCATTATTGCCCTCAGCTTGTCCCACTTCCCATTTCATTAAAATGTGAAATATAGTGCAGGGGTTCAACTTTATGTGTTTTTGTTTTTTGTTTTTTTTGCACTTGTGCAAGCGGGTCAGGAACCTGACCTGGTTCGGAGACCGTCAATTATTTACACGGCTTTAGTTACTCTTTGAGCGTGTACGAGAATCACCAAGCTGCAGGTTCACGTCGCTGTCCGATTGCCAAAACCACCTATACCAGGCTTGTGTTCGCTGCATTTCTTTTTTGTCATTCAGTCCTCCTAATGTGTTACTCGGTTACTAGGAAATTGTCATATAGGACTTGAGTCAGCCAGCATGTGTCTAAATGTGAAAAAAGGTGGAGCCAAAAAGCAAAGTGCACACAGAACAACCACGTTGAGCACAGCAGTCGGTGCAGCTTACCGTGGTGTAGTACAGTGAGACAGCCTGTGTAGGTGAATGATTCATTCGATGGGACGGCGTTCACTGTGTTTCCGTTGTGTTTGCCCTCCTGACTGAAACACCCTGCAGATACGGAGGTTTGTCTAAAGGGCACGATTGATTATGATGGTGTTTTAGGTGGGTCAGAGAATGGCACGTGTGTGAATGGGAGTGGGTGAACCGATGAACAAAGTCACTGCCAGACTGTGTACAAAGGTTTTGTTTTTCAATACACAAGTGTAAATATGATTTGAGAGATGTTTGTAAGTTTACTGTACATTTTTGGTTTTTATAATGATTGTTTACAAAGCTATTTTGAGGGTTACAAGTGTGACTGAAATATATACTGTATATATATGCATATTTTCTTTTTTTAAATATTTTCTTTTCTTGAGGATAGCTTAATTGAATGGAGGATAGGCATATATAAGCATTATGCTTTTGCCTATGCCTTTTTAGTTAAATTGTATCGGCCATATTGTATTAGCTGAATAAAAGAAATAAAAAGAACATGTTACAATGCCAGAGAAAGAGGCTATGTTCCAGAGAAAGTCCTCCATTATGCAGCCGTCTCTCTGCTTACTTCCATTAGGCCTTCAACTGCTGTGAGACTCACTGACAAATAAAAAAAAAATCACATTTTATCATATGTTTACATGTGTCGTTCGTTATAAAAATGATCAATAAATATGATACTCTTAGGGGTTTTGCATAAGAGCTTCCAAATGACGTGTATTTCATTACAGATCTCACTATTCCTTATCATTTGTGGCTCCAGCACAGCTTCATTATCAAGCAAATGTACTCGATCCTTCTACATGTTATATTATGTGTTTGAGAACAGTGGACGTTGTTTGGGCTTTTGTGCAATTTTATTTTTCCTCACATTTTTGAACATCATGTAGAGAAATATTTTTGTATTGGAAAGCCTCGTGTGTTTGCCCTTTGGCATAAATTTGTCATTAACCTCAACTAAAGCTGAACACCGAATACTGAAGGAGTTTGCACTTTGTCCCGTCTTTCCAACTTTACAAACTTTTTATCACCACCGTCCCGGTACAGTCCCTAACAAAAATTTCAACTGGTTATCCTTTTAATAACTAATTGTATTTCTATTTAGATATTTGCTTTGATAAAAAAATATTAGTTTTAATATTAGATATAATATACCCTGCATGGAGCTGGTGTTAGGAAGTTAAACAGGTCATGATTTCCTCTCTAGTATCTATTTTATATTGCTGTGAAAACAACTTTTTTTTTTCAAGTTTCTTGCAGAAAACTACATTTTACAAGAATAAATTTGGTAACGTCACGATAACGTAATGTAACTCAATGCATCCTCCGTTATTTACCGAAGCAGGACTATGCACTGACTGCTAACAGCTAAAAGCTAACAGCTAACAGCTAAAATGAACTAGCTCTCCTCCTGCTGATTTCAACATAGATTTGTTTTTCACAATGTAGAATTATCAGGGTGCACAAGAGTATTTAACCACAGGTGCGTAGTACTAGTTTACACGTGTGCTGTATCGATCGGGCCGAATGTGTGATTGGATAGCGAGTGACTCGGGCTGTTGTTCCTGTGCAAATGAGCTGATGAAGATCTGCATTTTAGGCTGTATCTGAACATACATGAATGTCACACGTCTGCTGTGTTTATACACAGGGCTGGCGTTGAATTAAAATGTTATCACATACCTCATCTCGTTTTAAAAGAGGATTCACGCGTTTATGTTTGTGTCTTTCAGCTGTTACGAGAACTGAAACAACCGAATGTGATCGCCCTGCAGAAAGTGTTCCTGTCCCACAGCGACAGAAAGGTTTGGCTCCTCTTCGACTATGCCGAGCACGACCTATGGGTGAGTCTCTCTGTGCCACATTCAACGCTGCACGTGTGTATAACCGATGTAACCTAACATTTTCAAAATAAAACTGATTTACTCTGCCACATTAGAATTACAATAAGCATAAATCACAGCATTACAGTTTTTATTTACCAGGCACCACCAAGGTGTGGAGAGGCTGTTTTTTTTGTTTGTTATTTCTGTGAATGTTGTAGCCACACGGTCCGAACTGACGTGCCTCACTGCCCTCGTAGCACATCATCAAGTTCCATCGCGCCTCCAAGGCCAACAAGAAGCCCATGCAGCTGCCCCGAGGGATGGTGAAGTCTCTCCTATATCAGATTCTGGATGGGATCCATTACCTCCATGCCAACTGGGTGCTCCACAGGGATCTGGTGAGCTGCTATATTAGCTGTGCTGCTCCAGTTTCCCTTCACTGACCCACCACCTCCAGCACACACTGCACTCCGTCCCGGAGCCGTTTCCGACAACGTTAACGTCACGGACACACCTATGTTTGTCTTATGGCAGCCATGTGTGGCGTCAATACACCAGGCCACAAAAAGGAAACCTGACAAATAATGGAGCTTTGTGAATGTGGTTAAATGGTTAAATTCAGATGTGTAACCATTTTAAAAGATAGACGTTTCTTGATTAACATTTGAATTAAAATGGCAAGGACTCGCTTAAACAAAACAAAGACCTGGGTCTCGATATACAAACTCGTGTTCTAAAGAAATAAGGGGCAGCATTTCACCTCTACTACTCTATAGTAGTCTATACAAACTAGATGTACAACCATCAGTTACATACATAAATACATAACAGCACTGCAAGAATACGTTAAATTTGACTGCTGAAACTCTGAGAGCAGGTAATTATAAAACTGATATAAAATCTTTACGTGTGGCGTCGGCCTATAGTTTACGTAAGCCGTCTGTGTTTAGCATGCCACCAACCAGGGGGCTGTATGGTCTGTGTACTTTTTTTGATACCCAGAGGTCTCCCAGAGCCCTCCTCCCGGGGAAGTGGTCTCCTAAGGACGAAACAAAAATACAGCCTTCGTAACACGAACGAGGACGGGTCCTGGACGCTACTCTTTCCTTCATTTCATTTTCGAAAGTATTTTGAAGTATTCCAAGAATTTATTTACTGCCATGGTTACATTGCCTCATCGTTCAACTGAATAAAGCATAATGATGACACTAATAAGAATTTAATACAAAGCAGCTCACATTTTCTCCAAACTGCTACTTATACTAATGTTGGTTTGTGTGCAAATCAGACGTTCAAATAAAGTAAAGAAAGTGATGGTAGGCCAAAGAAATCAATAAATTAGCCCACATTCTCTGAACACAGAATGAATCAGAGTTTAAAATGATAACATTGGAAATATGTTCCTATCACATGCTGAAGTTCATTCTGTTGATATCTCTCACCACGATAGTGGCTGAAAACCAAAACTAAATCTAAATCTTTGCCACACTTTGGTCACACTGACCCATTTCAACCAGCAGAGCTGCGTTATTTCAGTGAAGGTGTTGTTTTGTCTAGCTGTGGTGTATTATTATGAGTCTGATTGCGATGGCCGAAGAGCAGAACGTCCTGATCTCTGAATGTTGTCTGATTCTTGTCTAGCCTTTAACCTGGCTGATACACACGGCTGGTTCCTGTGAGATTCTCTCCACCTTGGTTTTCCCACAGTGCTTTGGTTAGAGGGAGACTTCTTTCCGTGAAGCTGAGAGTCAGACTGGAGGCAGAACACAAGGCCTCTCATTGTGTGTCTTCAAATTTCTGTTTAGACGGCAGATTGGCAGGAATTAAAAGAAACCATTGAGTCCATTTTGCCACTAAATTAAGTGTTGCATTGACTTAAGCTAGTCAAGATAACCTTAGCTAAGCTGGTTGAAGTTTTTGCAAGGGTTAGCTCAATGGCTATCAACCCCCTTATCTGGTCAATAATATCAATAGAAACATGAGGCGTGTTTTTCTTTGTTATTTTCTTTTTCATTTCTTTTGAAAATGCTGAGTAATGATAATGGTATAAAAAAACGAGACCTTTTGGCTAGTGCATGCAAGCATTCCCCACTGGCTAGCTCATGGCCGTCAAGCTGCACTGCTCTCATGCGGCAATTACAGCTAATAATGCTGTCCTGACCAACTGCGGTATTGTGGAAGCGTAGCTCCCATCATCCGGTCCTTCCTGTGTTAAACACTGTTAGCTGTCTCAGCACCGTCATTGTTGTTTGCACTGTTAGCGCTGTTAGCACCGTGAGCTCCTAGCAGCTGGCTCAGCCGTCTCCATGTTCAGAGCCATGTGGAGGCAATAGATATTCTCTGAATTTTGTATTGAGCACCTTTAATGTTTTATTTTAATTACAGCACAGATAAACTGTGATTTGAGTGCACAATTACAGTCACTTGATCGAGTAGAGCCATACAAGAGTACTCCACTGATTTAGCATTGCACTACTCACTGTCAGAATTAGAACCAGAGATACAAGTTATTTTTCCTTGTCAAAACTTGCCGCTGAGGTTAACCACAATGCAACCTTGACAGCTGACCCTGTGGTTCAGATATTTATTAGTTTCATCTATTAGCATGATTCAGGTGTGTTATGCTAGTAGCGGCTAACAGCATGATTCAGGTGTGTTGTGCTAGTAGCGGCTAACAGTATGATTCAGGTGTGTTGTGCTAGTAGCGGCTAATAGCATGATTCAGGTGTGTTATGCTAATAGCGGCTAAAAGCATGATTCAGATGTGTTATGCTAGTAGTGGCTAATAGCATGATTCAGGTGTGTTATGCTAGTAGCGGCTAATAGCATGATTCAGATGTTTTATGCTAGTGGCAGCTAATAGCATGATTCAAGTGTGTTATGCTAGTTGCGGCTAATAGCATGCTTCAGGTGTGTTATGCTAGTAGTGTCTAACAGCATGATTCAGGGGTGTTATGCTAGTAGTGTCTAACAGCATGATTCAGGGGTGTTATGCTAGTAGCGTCTAACAGCATAATTCAGGTGTGTTGTGCTAGTAGTGTCTAACAGCATGATTCTGGGGTGTTATGCTAGTAGCGGCTAATAGCATTATTCAGGTGTGTTATGCTAGTAGTGTCTAACAGCATGATTCAGGTGTGTTAGGCTAGTAGTGGCTAATGTAACCAGGAGCTGATGTAGTCCGATGTCTCTATGATGTCACTTGAGTCAGCGCCCTCTTGTCACACTAAAGGATGGAAGGCCTTGATCTAATTTTTAAACGTGCAGTAGAAGTACCCAACACCTGAAAACAGACACTGATGTGTAAAATCAGTGGAGTTCTCCTTTAAGATGTTAAAATGTTTTTCCATATCAATGTGGTCCAGATCAGAATTCAACCAGTGAGACTCCATTCTGCAGAACCATCAGATCTGTCTCATGTGAGATACAAAAACAAACAGAGCTGGAACAATTTCCATTCTCTCATATCTGACTGTGTGCTATAAAACTCCCACAGCCCATCTGTGTGTGTGTATGTGTGGCTCACTCTTATCTCTCAATGCATCTGTCACTCACAGCGAGGAACATTTGTGCCTCTGCTTGAAAGTATAATCAACCAAACACATCCGATTATGTGGCAAAACTTTAATTTGATTATCGCGGTCAGTGCTTTGATGTCAGATGATCCGGAGGGAGGCTATTTCCAGATAATTCTCATGAGAGAATGAAGGACTTTAGATGATACGGTCTGACTGAAATGTAGATGAGACGACGGTTGATTTCTCAGAATACACTGGCTTCAGAAGTCAGAAAGCAGTCACACAGTTCAGGCGTCTATCCATCTACAGGGGTTCTATCTTCTTTGAATAAGGTCATCCACTCTTATACAATCCCTAAATCCTCGGTGATCATGTGGTGGCTGGACATCACATTACATAAACCTGCAGGGATCAGAGAGCGGGCTTTCACCATCGGCCTCTCTCTGGTCATCTACCAGAGAGATCTCTGCAGGCATCAAATGCTCTGTCTGTACAGCGGCGCCAAGGAGGCTATTGTCGAGCTGAAATGACAATGTGTTGAATACAAATGTGCTGACTCTGCTTTTGAGGGATTCAGTCAGTTTTAAATGGTGAGTCAATCGAGTCATTCCCAGAATCTGACGTCAGAAAGTAAGTCCAGTAAATGACCAAGGTAACACACACTGTAGTCCTGTTGCACAAGTTGATCTCAAACCCTCCAGACTTGCGTTTTACATCGGCTGTGCTGCTACAAGTCATTTTGTTCACTTACTGGCTTTGGCACAGAATTTGTCACCTTTTAGGCTCAACCAGCTGTATCTGTCTAAATAGAGGGTCCAACATGAGTGACCAGCGTTACATGCATGGGTCATCACATTAACTCAAAATGATAAAAGATATACAGTTTACCCGAGGGCCAGAAAATATTCACATTTGAAAAGTTGGACTCAGTGAAGGTTTTGCTTAAATAATGACTTGAATGATCATGTAAATGAAAGTTCTATGCTTGGCTGATGAAAATACTATACTGTATATGTACAGTACCGAAAGCCTTGCTGTCCCACAGTCCCACTCCAGCAACTTCTAGACTGTATATAATAAGTGGATGTAGTCGCCATTACGTCACCCATTGCTTTGTGGACTAGGGTTTTGAAGCCCCAAGTTTGGCATTTCGGCCGTCGCCATCTTACTTTATGGCAGTCGCCATCTTTGTTATTATCTTTCGCCACCTTGGTTTTTGTCCGTCGCCATCCTGTTTTTTTATGGAACCAGAAGTGACATAAGAGGGTGGAGCTTAGTACAACAGAAGGCTGAACAAAATTTTTTTTTTGGGCCGTCGCCATCTTGGTTTTTGACCGCCAGCATCCTGTCTTTTCATGGAACCAGAAGTGAAACAAGAGGGCAGAGCAAAGTACAACTGAACTCTGAACAATAATTATTTTTTAGGCGACCAAAACTTTACAATTCACTGTCATGACCTGGAAACACACTGTCAAAGTTCTAAGATGAAAACACAGACAACATGCAGACACTGTAAATGGTGTTTAGAACATTTTTATCTTCAACGATAATGACGCACTAATCAAAAACGGGGCCATCTACAAAAGGTTTGCATGATTTTTTGTTTCAGGATTGTGCAAATCCTGCACACAAAAAACCCCAAAAGAAACCCTGTAACTCTTAAAGCACCCTCAAAGGGATAAATGCCCTGGTAACTGTGCTGCCAAGCTAATAGTGTCTCAGTGCTCCTGTGCAGAGCAGAGTACTATGAGTGGGAAATCCCCTCTCCTTCACAACAACATAAACTCTCCCACTGGAGCGGTGCGGTTGTTTGGCTCCCTGAAGGTCACACCACATCTTATCTGAGCACCAACTCTTCCGGCCTCTTAATAACTATTTTCATTGCAGGCGGATGGAATTCTCCATTGTCATACTTTTATCTGACTCTGTTCTGATGTATGGCAGTCGGTGCCGCTATTTTGCTGTCTCATTGCCAGGGCTTCCTGCCATTGTGTCCAAAGAGCTCCCTAAATTCTCCCCCTTCTACAACTGGGCCTTTTTTGGTTCTCGTTGCTGGTCGGATAATCAATCTCTGTGCAGGTGCCTGGCACTTTGTCAGCTTTCTCTCTGTCTCTGTTGGTGGATAACAAATCAACATTCATAGTGAGCGCTTTATGGAAAATTCCCCCAAGGCCTCGTATTGCTTTCATAGTTTATACATGAAAGCTGCACATCTGGCATTGAGTTATGATGTTAATGCATGTGAGAGGAGGAGCATCAAGACAGAAATGTAATCTGCTGCCGTCTGTTTGAGCTGTGGGGAGAGGTGGCCCTACCAGCTCATCCTCCCATGGCTCCGCTGCTTCTGCTGTTACGTAACGGTGCGTTCGCGCTGGTGTGCAGCTTGCTCTGCGCCGCAGGTACCAAGCATGTGTTTGCGTTGCACCACTGCATAGCTCTCCCATCCCCCCCCGCTCGTCCTGCCATTCCTTCGTTCCCTTTTCCCCTCCCCATCCCCACCCACCGCTACCCACCCCCACGGGGCTTATGTAACAGCCTCTAGCTCGCGAGCCAAGCCCACCGCCCTGCCTGGCTAGCTGAGTCAAGATGCTGACTTAGCAGCTTTGCAGGCCAAAGCAGAAAGCTTCTCAGCAGACTGTACCAACAAATCTCTGCCGGGGGGAGGGGGGGGGAGGGGGGGTGATTGCGGTAAATCCCGACTATACTATATTTACTGTACTGTATACGTACAGTACTGTATGCCTGCCGGTCTCACACAGTCACGCTGCAGCAGCACTGGACGGATGCTGATGCTGCTGCTGATGTTCTGTGCATAGCAACAGCACAGCTGCTCGATGAGTGCATTTTGGATGTTCAGAATGCAGTTAACATGTTTCTATTCTCAATGATTCAAATGAACAATGAGTATTATACTCTTTAGGCCTTGTAGTATTATTGTTTTTATTTACTTTGTATGGAGAGAGAATGTTGTTCCAAGTGAAATTACTGTCAAACATCATCCCAAGGAGAATCATGTACTATCATACCAACCGTCATTTCTTTGGCTGTAGGTCCGTCCTACAGCCACTTACGAAAAAAACAAAACAACAAGGTCATTAGGGCATTTATGTCTGTTGCTATTTATTATTAAAAAATATTTAGCTGATGCTGTTGAAGACTCCTGCAGTTGGGTTCACTTGGCCCAGACTCAGGAAAACAATGATGCCTTGTTGCCTTTTAGTTGTAGTTTGGGTCATGGTCACACTCACTCATAACCAAGAGGAGTAACAAGTCACATGACACCATAACAAACAGACAGGATCGAACTAAAGGTAAAGAAAAAGGTTTTATTTCTCTGAAGAGTCCTTTCCATAATGTGTTTGGACGCTTCTAGCAGAAACAAGCACTTTTAGCTGAACGTCCATTGACAGTGAGGAGTTGCCTCGAGCAATCGGGGCAACTCCTCACTCTTCCCACAGTGTTCTCCCTCCGCACTCGACCAATTTCTAAAACCGTTGTCCCCATTAGTCACTTATACACCGTTTCCACCAAAATTAGTGCGTATATGCAGGGTTTTTAAACACGAGGAAACCCGCTGAAAATAGGCGATAGACTCCTTTCCCAATGCCAGGCGACAAGTATGACTTTCTGCTTTTTATCTCTGGTGTGTCACATTCGATGTCACGGCCACATCGGCCGGTGTTACGTCAAAGTCTGTTTCCCCGTCGAATAGTGTTTGTCTCTTGTAACCTTTCCCACTGAAGACAAAAGCCAGATGTTAATGAGTTTTTTGTTCAATGGGAAAGGGGCTTTATACGCACAAAAATGGGGTCCAGGTTGAAAAATAGCGAAGTTACTCCTTATTGGGAAAGAACAGAACCGAACAGGTAAACACTTCAGAGTTGGTTTGAACCAAGAACGAAGCCTCAAGTTCGGCATTTTGGGCGTTGCCATCTTGTTTTTGTTTTTTTTGCAACCTGTGAATGGATGTGACCATATTTGGACTGTGGAGGAGTGACGTAGAGACGCCGTGTACGGCTCTGGTAGTGTAGCCCAGACCTAAAGCATCCCCTGCTCTATGGTTTATTTGACTCTAAATGGACCATAATTTACTAAATGAATGAAACTAGAGATTGAGACCATAAACTCATGTTTACAATGTTTACTGAGGTAATAAATCAAGAGAGAAGTAGAGTCATTTTCTCATAGACTTCTATACAACCAGAGGAGTCGCCCCCTGATGGCCATTAGAGAGAATGCAGGTTTAAGGCACTTCACTTTTAGAAACGGAGGTTGCCTCCTGATAACGAGGCAAACTACAAATAAAGCTGAAGAAAAAGACCACTGACAACTGTGGCTTTAGTTCAGCCAACGGAGTTAGTAATGAAGGTTTCAAAAACAATTTGTCGCTGTCTATGTATTTATGTTAGATGTAAACAAGGGCAGCGCTCTTGGAAGGAGCTGCAGACGAAGCTTTGCCGCAGCACCACATGTCGGCGTGATCTTTTTAGACGAGGTTCAGAAGGTAATGCAGGAGATGCAGCATGATGAAAAGTGAGTGCACCTTTGCCTGAACAGCGCACAGGGGTTCATTGTGACACTCGAAGTGGACCGGCGGTTGTTGATGGCCCTGTCAGCCTGTTCATCAACAACTTGCACAAACTATTGCATAAGTGCGCCTCTGGCTCCTGAACTGGCCCAGTTTGTGGGACAAAAAATGTAGATGGTTTTGTAAAAGCGGGCCACGTCCCTGAAGATCGAGTTGAGCGGTCCTCAGGGGGATGGAGTTCATTTCCCCCCGGCTCCTGATCCATTTATGAAACTAACCAACTGTAACAGGTTGATTTTAGCTGGATGAATTCAAAAGGAAGACTCAATTTTGGGGGCGTGAAACACAATTTGGTGCATATTCCCAAGTAAAAAGCAGCAATAACAACAGCAATATGTATTTTTGCTTCCTTCCCCCGGCTGTAATGCTGCATGCTCATTTTGCATTTTGAAGAGGCACCGACGCTCGCTCAGGCCTTTGACTGGACATTCGAGAGCTAATAACTAAAACAGCCAATATGGCGTATTAATTCAGTTAGGCCTGTTTAGAATATGAAAGAGGAGCTGGTGAGCCTGAACTCCTCGGGCCTCTTAAGAGCCGTCTGCCTTTGTGTTTGCCGTTCGCGCCGTGTCGTGTCGCGGGCACGAATAATAGACCTCATTATTGCCGTGGTTTCCGTGGCAACGGGACGTGTTTGCCAGGCAGATCTGAAGTTTGCCGAGCCGGAGGGTTCACGTTCGCACCGGCGCCCCGGGAGGGTCGACCGGGCCGTTTGGCAACGAGCAGAAACTGCATCCGACCGCATTAGAATGTACAACATCTCCCTCTGATTCATGGCAGCAAGCTGTGTGTGTTTGTTTGATGCCCATTCAGTGGATAACAACACAGACTGTACTTCTAACCCATTATCATACGTAGGAAGCCTAACTGGTGCTCATTTCTTTACCGATCAAACACACAAATATTCTCTGGTGGGAATCTGTGGCTCTAAAGCTGCACGCATTCATTATTTCTTTATTGTGGCAATAGATCAACTCAAAATGTGCTGCCCGCTCAGCGCCGTACCACTAGCTGGTGGACACATAAAAATGCAGATATTGGACTTGACATGAGTCAAGGAGACAAAAGCAATGCTAATGTTGCTTTGTGTGTGCAGGATGTGTAAATGGGCAAACGTAGAGCCGCCCAAGAGGTCTTGTCAATCATGTTGAACATACAGGATCAGTGTTTGTTTGTTTAAATTTAGGAATGCGCCAATCCCGACTTTTTGCTATCCTAATCTAATCTAATCCTAACCTGGGTGTTTTTGTGTTGGCCGATACCAATTACCGATCTGGTACCAGTGTTTGATCAATAAGCTGTATGCCTCACTATGTGGAGGAGACTGGGATCATTCTCTTATGTGTGAGGCAACATCAGACCAATATCAGTATCGATGTCTTCCTGATTCAATCCTAAATGTCAGAAACATGAAAACGACTTGTATTTTTGGCTTCGTCCTCGCAGCCACTAGAAAACCGCTTCGCTGTGAGGAGAGCGGGCGGCAACTCTGGGGACGCAAACCTTCAGTCAGCTGCAGCGACTAGCATTCAGCCCCCTATTTCTTTTGGAGCATGTGGCCAGATAGTAAATTGGGCCTTTGAAACTTTTTGATAACCTCCTCAAACAGAACACACGGGGCTGTCTGTACCGTACGTACGTCAGTTTCGTCAGTCCCTTTTTTTAAACACTTCTGCCGCCCTTTTCATTTAGGTCAGTAGGCTTGCTTTTTTCACACGCTTTTACTCCCACATGCATACTTTTATTTGTTACAAACTCCTCTGTGTGCTTGCGTGGGCTGATTGCATCGGAATTTAAAGTGCACTTTCACAAAATGGCTAAGTAAACGACTGTGCACTCGTTTACTTCAGTAACCAACTGGGGAAGCCAATGCAAGCCGCTGTGCAGAAGTGCAACACGTGTAACGATAAGTGAGCACCAAGCGGTTCGTGTTCTACACCGGTGTCTAATAATTCTCTTCTCTGCTGCAGAAACCAGCCAACATCCTGGTGATGGGGGAAGGTCCCGAGCGAGGAAGAGTTAAAATCGGTAAGGAACATTTCCGTGAACAGCTCAGATTTGGGAAGTCGTGCAAATTAGAGACACCGCCAGTCGCCGCGGTGACAGCGGATCCACGAGGCCGTTGACCTGTTTGAGCGTCGGCTGCAGTGTACTGCTACTGTACTACTGGCTCAGAGGTCGGCGGGGAGCTCAGATCAGTGCTGTTGCGTAAGCCGGCTGGCCAGGGGACTGTTGAAGGGTAATGCTGCAACGCCCGGTGTATATTTATAAACCTCGTGCACACTGTGGTAGTACTAAGTTGTTGTTTCAGTGCTATTACAGGCTCACACGGTATTATATTTTACATATTTAGACATTTTCTCTGTGTGACTCCCTCTTACTTCAGTTCAGCTGAGAGTTTTGAGCTGTGACTTCTTGGCAGACAAGTACATATTCCTCAAAACAAGGCCTTTATTTATCAAACTGCTACAAGCGAAAGGACTCCAATTAAATATCAAAGAATTAAAGCCATTCATCAAATATCTCATTGCTTTAAAATGCTCTTAAATTAAAGAGGGAGGGGGAGAGGAGAATTCGGGGAATGACAGACAGACCAGATCAAGCGAAAGAAACGCTGTTGATTGAAGCTAGTTTTCTTGCTGTCAGCTTTAACTGTCGTGGTAGTTTTGATGGTGTTTGTGCTCTCTTGATTGATTCAGTATCAGTAGGTCAGTATCTGGGCTCCGGGCGCCCCCGGAGCCGGCAATCCCCCGACGGCGGTGGCCCCCGCCACTGTCTTTGTTTTCGCTAACGTCCTCCGTCTTCTCCACACTCCTCCCGCAGCCGACATGGGTTTCGCCCGACTCTTCAACTCTCCCCTCAAGCCGCTGGCAGACCTCGACCCGGTGGTGGTGACGTTCTGGTACAGGGCCCCCGAGCTGCTGCTGGGGGCCCGGCACTACACCAAAGCAATTGGTGAGTTGTAGCACGTGTCGACCAAGGTCTCACAGTGTCAACAGGAACACACATTCCTTCATTATCTATGGTCTCCATCGGTACTTAGCAGGTGTGTCTACACGTCTATATTTGTCATTCCTGGAACACGAGATAACACTGTGCTCGTCTGTGTGTGTGTGTTTGAGATTATCTCTAAATGTGTGCGAGGTGTGAAAGAGACAGAGAGACGTTTTACACAAAATAACATTTTCTCATCTAACTCTCCGAGCCAGAAAGCACAGGAGCCCATTTCCCAAAATGACTAACTTTTAACTTTAAAAGGATAACCCCACCTGAAATTAAGAATGCCAATGTGTTATCTCCACGTTCAAACGTTCAATCAGTATCTGTGAACATGAGCTACTCTCTCCCAGAGCCAGAAACCAGAGAAGTATTTATCATACTTGTAAATGTCAACAAGTGTAAAGTCTGGTGCTGCTCTAAAGACAATGAATGGGAGACTGATTTTGTCTTCCTTTTTTTTTAATACCCAAATGAGCTTTATTCTGTTGTAGTCTTCTCAGTCAGAACATTTTCCTGAGTGCTCTGTGTCATCTAAAACAGTGTTTACCCAAAAAAATGTTCCCGGGAACCAGCTTTTTAAAAATGACAAACCATCGCAACCCAAGTCACAACATGCCTCATGTATGAATTTGATTAATCACAACTTTGCTTGATGCATGTGTTGAAAATATATACACATGTTCAATACTTAATATATGAGACAAAATAAGTACAATTATCAGAACCATCCGAACATTCAGGCTCCTTCTTGAGGCTTAACAATGTACTGCAGATGTTAATGTATAATAAAAGACAACGGAAGAAATTCTGCATATTTATTTGGCTACCCTATAAAAGAAACACCTGTGACCCACCTGTGAGTCCCGACCCAGTATTTTTGAACAACTGATGAAGAACATATTTCCCAATTCATCATCTTTGGAACTGCTCCACATTTCATACTTAACATAATGTCACACATTTGAGTTTTAACACTCTAGTTTTTGGATTTGGAAGAGAGAGATGTTCATGTGTTTACTAATATTTTGTGGATGTTTTAGACCAAAGGAATAAATGTTCCTGAACCTTCATAGTTCAATTTGATTAATTGGCGTCCAATCCAATTACTCTGTATGTCAAAAACCCAATGCCCGGAAATATTTTTCTCACAGCAGAAACCAGGGGAGGAAATAGTTAAATAATGTTTCACTTCTTGCACATTTCAATTATATCATTAGAAAAATGAAAATATAATCAGCAATCATTGGGGTCAAAACTGCTCTTTAACTCTTGTGCATGGCGGTAATAAAACGGTAAAAAAGCTTAAACATAAAGTGCGTAACTAACTTTGATTTAAACCAGGCAGTCAATGCGCTGTAGCTAATGTACCTCAAGATAACTCAGACTAAGAGGCATTTGTGTTTGTGTTTGTGTGTGTGTGTGTGTATGTGTGTGTGTATGTGTGTGTGCATGCACCAGATATTTGGGCAATTGGCTGCATCTTTGCGGAGCTGCTGACGTCCGAGCCCATCTTTCACTGTCGCCAGGAAGACATCAAAACCAGTAATCCCTTCCATCACGACCAGCTGGACCGGATATTCAGCGTCATGGGGTTCCCTGCAGGTATGCACACAATGCACACAACCACAACCACACACAGGGCCAGTGTCAACCACCGGCATTGCACCGGTTTTCACACCGATATCATTTTATTTTGTGCTGAGGGGATATGGTTTACAACTGCCACATGAATGTCAAGTGCATCAAAGACAAAGCCTTACAATTCTGTTGATGAGATGAGACTGATACCAAAGAAGCCTGGTTCAAGGCTTTTGGAGCTGCATGTGACCTCTACACACTACACAGTCAGGGCTGAGTGACGAGGCTCCTCATAGTTTAGATTCAGACATCATTAGCTGTCTCTCAGCACCAGCAAATCAAGCACAGGGTCTTAACACAAGCATAGTTCTGTGTCAGCTTCAGTTTCACACACACTGTATAAGAAAGAAGTGCAGTAAGTGCAGAGATCTCTACTTCCAAAACAAAAAAGTCGTATGCATATAGTTTATGAAGTTGTATGTTTATTGGAGCTATGAACTCGGGTGTGTGTGCCTTTGTATTCCACAGATAAGGACTGGGAAGACATTAGGAAGATGCCCGAGTACCCAACGCTGCAGAAAGACTTCAGGAGGACAACGTGAGTGGATGCTGTGATGATCTGAAACTCATAGACCAACAAACAAAATATGAAATACAGTCAAACTGATTTTTCTTTTATGTATTGTTGTGTTTCTCATCTAACAGGTATGCAAACAGCAGCTTAATCAAATACATGGAGAAGCATAAAGTCAAACCGGACAGCAAGGTTTTTCTCTTGGTGAGCACACACGATCACCTGCACACATCTGAGAAATCGGGAGTCTGTTCCAACATTTTTGGAAATCCTGTTTGGTCCTTTGAAACTTTGCATATTGTGTTGCGCTGCGTTATGAATAACAACCATGAGGTACGATAAAAGATAGATTAACCTTGTTAACAGCTCTGTTTCGCCACGGGCTGCATTCACGCCAAATCAGCCGCTGAGGCGATTAGCACAGGGTGCTGCGATGTGGGAGTGCCGCTTAAAGTCGAGATTAAATCAAAAAATGCTTTTAGATCCCACCCTGTTAATTGATTGAGGCCACTGTTCCACTTGTGGAAAATGTGTCGGTCTCTTTGGAGTTGAAGCTGCACCTGGCAATGTTGCATAACTAGTTACTTGAAATGACAGTGAGGAGTAACTATCAAAAAAGAATGCTTAATAAAGCATGAAACATGTTATGCATGTATTGTTTAACACATTCATTTTTTTATAAAGCTTGTTTTTAAGGAGGTTAGAAATATGTGTGCGGTCCAAACTCTACAGTGAGTATGTATGGAGTTTGTTTTAGCAGTCTCCAATCAAATAAATTGCACCTACAATGTGTTTGTATGTACGCCTGCTGCATGAGAGACCCATTGTGCAGCTAAACTGTTCCAAATTTGACCTACGAACACCCTTAAACTCACTTGGAGTTGAACCGAAACAATGCAGAACATGTCCTCATACTTTCTGACGACACTGTGAATGGAAAAGTTCTGCAGACGCTGAACTACCTCGTAACACTGTGTTATTCTTCTCTGCCTTCAGCTCCAGAAACTCCTCACCATGGACCCCACCAAAAGAATCACATCGGAGCAGGCGCTGCAGGACCCGTACTTCCTGGAGGACCCGTTACCAACCACTGAGTGAGCCCTACTTTTACAAGAGGCTTTTCTTTTGCCTTGATTCAGCCAAAGTAAAAAACAGGCCTATTAGTGTAAGGATTTTTAATTTCTAACCTACGCCCCTGTGTTTTGTCCTGTGTTTGTTGGTTGGTATGTAGGAATCAGATTGGTAACATTACGTTAAATAACCGATTCTCTGCGATTGTCTCTAGTGTGTTTGCCGGGTGTCAGATCCCCTACCCAAAACGAGAGTTTCTAAACGAAGACGAGCCCGAGGAAAAAACAGAAAAGGTAATTATACAGCGCTGACGAAAACAAGTCAAGTGTCCACTCTGCCAATTTCACGTCATTACATCCAACCGTCTCTTAAACTCAGGACACATGCTGCAGATTGTTGTTGTTACTACGGCCACAGAGAATAAACCATGGAGACAAATACTTTCAAATGTTACTTATGATCTTAAATCTATATATTACGAGCACAAATGTTATGTTATGGTGTTGCCCACTCTGTAAAGCTGGGTAGGCAGGTTGTTTTTGCTGTCCATGGGCAAAAATTCCATCATAACTAGGCCTTTAGAAATTGTAGCCTGTGGCAGGCCAAGCAGGGACAGTGGCTGGTCCTGAATCTGTTTAATCTCTTTCCCACTGTCTCCTTTTGGAAGGTTGGTGCCAGGGACCCGTCGAGCGGGGTCTGACACCAGATGTTTTGTTTGGGACATCCTTGGTTGTCTAGATGGGAGACCAGCAGAAGGTGGATTGAAGATGTCTGTATAGATTGGTAGATGGGGGGGGGGATCTTTGACCTTTTGGAGCATCCTTTGGTGTTGATCAAATGGTCCCGGTTGTGATTTGCATGGTTGTGTTAATCTGAGCATCCACATGGTTTGTATGGGGTGACCCGGACCAAGGGTCAAGGGTCGGGTCGTGGGCGTGCTTCAGCTTGAGTCTGCTCGGTTGGATGTTAATGTCTACGGCAGCTTTTGCGTTTTGGAGGTGGAATACACTGGAGACCTGAGCTTGGTTTTCAGGCACCAGGTTTTGCTAGTATTGGTCCAGTTTGGAGGTCTTCATGGAGCACCTGCTGTAGCGAATGAAAATCTGGTGCTCAGGTTGCCAGGTTGGTATCATTGGCGTAGATGAATTTGCAGGATTAAGTGTTGGGTAAGTCGTTCGTATAGGGGTTAAACACGGGTCCTGATGCTTATGGGACCTTGTATGTCTGTTCTCCGTGTTACATTTAATAAAATAGCGTTACATTAGGACAGTTTATGCTGCTCGTTTGGATCATCAGTGTCCTCCCTGTTCTTTGAACTATTTTTACAGTGTAGTAAATCCCTATGTGACTTTGCCAGAGGCAGGGACGAGCAGAAACATGCAGAAGATAAGTGCCTCTGTATTGGTTGCTACAGTTACTTTTAGTTACAAACATCTGACGAGCAGACATGACATGATAAGCTAATAGAATACAACACATTGCTAAAAACAACACAAACATTCAGACGGGAGTTGCTCACTGTTCCAAATGTTCCATCACATATTGAAAAGATTTAGAGCCAAAACATTACATTACATGACATTACAGTCATTTAGCAGACGCTTTTATCCAAAGCGACTTACAATAAGTGTATTCAAAATAGGTATTCAAGAGAACTACTAGTCACCAGAAGTTATAAGTGCATCTCGTCAATACCAGTGCACACTATATTTAGAATATTTAGGCCGTTAGATCGTTAGTTAACGTTTCCGACCGGAAACTGAAGCCTTTATCTATGCTGCTGCCAAAGCCACCAGACCTGTAAATTTACCTTACAGAACACGGGAGTGTTATTGTGTGACTTTGGTTAGTTTAACTAACCGAGTCTGGTTTTTGGGAGCATGGACGGATACAACGGCTACAGTTCACTGTTGAGAACTTTGGCATGGTAAACCGGTAAAAATATTCGTACACTTAAACTGATATAAATTAAATACATTTTTAGGTGGGCCTTTCTCTTAGGGGTCTAAAATACGCTTTACTGCTGCTCCCGTTGCTCCTGTGGTGGTACTCTTGTCTGTTTCTCCAAACTAGGGGCACACCATCATCTACATTGACTATGGATAAGTACCTCATACAACCCCACTCCAAAACATCTGCATTATCCCTTCAATGATTCAAAAATTCCTCCTCCTAAATGGGTTCTTTTATCGTAATCCAAAATCTACCATCTTATTTTGGACCGTGAGTCATTTTTCCAATAAAGACCATGGTAGTAGAAATAGTTCACTAGATGAGGCAAATCAAATAAATTGTGTTTTAGGCAGTCGGAGCGAGAGTCTGTTGTCCTCTTATGGTTCAATCACATGGAAAGCTTAAAGGGCAGATTCCTAAATAAACGTCTCCGGGCAACAAATCCTGCAGCGTGACCCCGTCAGCTGGCTTCTTTTAAGAACGTAAAAACATTTGTGTAATAGACGGTAGGCCTCCATGACTATCACCAACACGCACATAAACTGATTATGGGAACCATCACTTTTTGTTTAAACACGCAAGCAGGTGGTTTTGAACCGAGTTACTGAGGGTTTCTTTTTTGTCTTATCAGTTGGAAAGTCATTCCTTGTGTTCAGAAGTTTCTCTTCACTGTGATTATGTTACTATTACGCAGTAAAGTTATGAGTTAGTACGCAGCGGCCGAGTAGCACTGTTCCCCGTAGGTCATCCGCTGACTTCTGGGAAGTGAAGAAAAGTTTGGTTATCCAGACTTCATGTAGCGTTAGCGTGCTATACCCGACATCCAGCAGCCAAAGTGAGCTGCAGTCAATCAGCCGGACTGCAAAATCTGCTTGTTTATTACATTTTTTTTATTATCGAAGGTATAGCCTTTCCAAATTCCACCAAATTCGACACTGCACTCCTTTATGTCCCCAGTAATACACCTGCCAAGTGTGAAGTAGAACGGATGAGCGGCTATCGAGATATGCAAAGGACACGCACGCAGACAGACAGAGAGTCCTTGCTTTATAGTTAGATAGTGATGTGTTGATAAGAATAAGTTAGATTGCATTTCAGTCATCTCAGTGGCAAAGCAGGAACAAAAAGCTGACAGATAAAACTGGAGCGAGCAGACAGTAGAACAACAAGACTATTACAAGCAAGGGAATAAACTGATTTCAGACATGCTTCATTTTTTGGGTTTTCCTAATCAGCCAGACTTTGAATCACTTTTGCTACGCTTTTTATCGGTTTCCCTGTGTGTCCGTTCCCAGAACCAGACCCAGCAGCACCAGCAGACAACGGGTCAGACTCAGGCCCAGAACCAGCAGCAGACGGCAACCCAGCAGGCCCCCTCCCAGCAGAACTTGGCCCAAACCAACGGCACCGCCGGAGCGACGGGGGCCGCCGCTGCCGCCGGGGGTTTACAACACGGCCAGGACCAGGGGCCCCCCAACAAGAAACCTCGGATCGGGCCCTCTGTGGCCTCCTCAGGCACTGGTTTGCTACAGTCGGAGTACCAGGTTAGTGATTTTTATTAAGGTTGTCACTGGGGTGAGGATATGTCCATGTGTGATTGCTTGTACAATGGTTTGTGTGAAATATGTAGGTGAGCGATATTGATTAGCGAACACCAACTTTGAATATCAATGATTTACGTCTTGTAATAGTCTCCAGTTTCCCAAACGTAGCAATTTGAAAGACGTCACCTTGGATTCTGGGAAATTGTGCTTGGCATTTTCTGACCTTTGATTTCAGATTCATCAGAAAAATCATTGATTAACCGATGACAATATAGCTGAGTGAGGTTATAGATGCTCATTTTTCCTTTCCTTGGCTGTCTGTCACCTGCCAATGTGACAGATGGGGAAGATTTCTTCGGATGTATGCGGATGTTAAGGAATGGCAGCAGTGTATTCTACAGTGTGTGTGTGTGTGTGTTGGGCAGCTGCGAGGAAGATATAGATACACCAGACAACAACAGCTCGCTGATAAGAACCGCACATTCCACATTGTCCTGCTGACAGCTGTAGGCGTATCGCTGTGGTGCCCGGCCGCTAGCCTCTGTTCCGTACTCTGAGAAATCTAAGAGCCAAAGATAGAACAGTGAGGGAGAGGGTGCGATGAAATGAGGGCAGTGACGGGGGAGAGAGAGCATGTGTCAATGAGTGTAACTGAGCAGAGCACAAGTGGGATAGAGGTCACTGCCCGGCCCTATAAGTGTGCTGCGTTGGTGAGGCCACATGAGGGCGTCGCTATCAGGCGGAAGTATGTATATCACAGATGGAGGTGTGTGTATATATATACATGTTTGTGTATATAGCAGCGGCTGAGGCTGCATGTGAGACAGCTGCTCAGGCCTCAGCACACGTATAAATAAACCGGTGGAGCGGGCTGCCGACACACCAGGAGGTTCTTTAGCTGTCTCACTGCACCGTCACTGTCGCCGTCCTACTTCTTTCCCACTCATTGATCCCTTGTACCACAGGCTAAGCCCCCTCCCCCCCTCGACACACATCACTCTCCAATCATTCTCCTGAATAGATGCAGCGTAGCACACTGTGACCAGGGCTGGGTAGTGTAGACATGTATTGAGTTCAGCTGAGGTCCCGGCTTCCTGTCGTCCTGTGACTCAACTGATTTCAGATGTCCGGCTTTACTCTTATTTACTTTGTTCTCTGGTAAAAGAAAGAAAAAGGTTGGTAACACTCTTTGACGTTTGTAATTCATTATAAACATATTTTTTATTTCCTTCAGTGTGGCATGAAAGCATTGTGGATGGTTTAATCTAAAATCTGTTGGAAAAACAATAGACCCTAACATGACAAATTATGCCCCTTAGCATACACATAGCATACTGTTGGTTGCATCGTTTGAGATGCTCACTGTCCTGTTTTCTCCCCTCTGTTTTTTCGTCAGCACTCTGGCTCCCGCCACGGTTACCAAAGCAGCGTCCAAGGTTCCACTCAGCCCCAGGGCACCATGGGATACTCGTCATCGTCAACGCAGAGCTCCCAGTACTCCCACCAGACCCACCGTTACTGAGAATCCCCGTCACTCCTGAACCAGCAGAGGAGTCAGCTCCTCCTCCAGCCTTTCATCAACCTCAGCAGATGTCAACGCCCCCTCCCCCGGTTCCTGCCGTACCGGGTCAGACCTTCCTCCGTGCATTACATCATTCCAACTTTCAGACCTCCCTCACCTTTGACCTCTTTCCCCGACGGCCTTCAACGGCACTGCAACATGAAGGCAAAGCAGACATAAGGAACCGAAACAATCTAAAGAGAAGTTCCGTCTCGTCGGGCCAGTGGATATAATGTAAGATAGATGTGAAGGCGCCGCTCTCACACAGACTCAGAACCATGGCACTTACAAACACACCGTTCCTCACCAGGAAGAATTGCAGCTGTGTTCATATATGTACATTATATAGCACTTTTTTTCTATTTGATTTTTTTTTTCCTCCCGTATTTGCTTCGTTTACCTTTATAGATGTCATTGTAAATATTGTTACACGTGAAACACAGGAGGAAGAGCCCTTTACCGTCATCGCTAGTGTAATATTTACCTCGGATTATCAAAAGAAGAGTTTGAGCTAACCCGGTCCTTTTGAAGGAAAAACACGGTCACATGTTTCTACACAGAAAAACAAACAAAAAATCAGTACTTTAGCTGATGCAATTGCAGGGAAATAATAAATGCGCAATTTAACTTAATCTTCTTATTGTAGGGTTTCTATAGTTAGACCTCTCTTGATCTAGATTTGGGAAAGTGAGAAAAAAGGTTTTTTTACAGCTCTCAGTTCTGCATATTCTGATTCACTCCGCTACCTAGACAAGATATGACGGGCCGGTCTTCCTTTCCTCTGACGACAGCAGCCTTTTCTTTTTAAGGAGGTTGGACTCTTCTCGTTTGTGGCCATCAGCTCCGGACTATCTTTCTTGTTCTGGAGCTGCCGGTAGACACTTTGCTCTGACAACCATCTTACCGTGGACCCTCCTCACTTTCAAGGTTTCTGAACACAAACGTGCGCATTTAATAAACGTACAGGGCAGCTAACAGTAGGCCCTCCTCCTACTTATATGCTTCTTGAGACTGTTACTGCCTGATGTCAGATTGTTTTCTTAAAGGTTTTAATGTTATCATTGTTGCCCTTTGAGTGTGTGAGTGTGTGTGTGTACAGTATGTTTTTTTATGCATGGCGTCTATCCTTGGTATTAGTATACTGACCGCTGAACCGACTGGCAAAGAGCTGGAACAAATGTGTCGATGAGTTTCATCCTCTTCCACTCCGACCCTCCGGCCGAGCATTGGGCAGACAATTTGGTCGAGACTGGAGCTCACAGGCGATTGGTGCGTTCTGTGATACATGCCAAGGAGGCGGGAGCAACAGTAATGATGTAATGTCTATTACTATTAGCTATGTAAAGGCAGGACCTGGCCCATAGACATGCTCTGAATATTAGCGCTAGCGGGATGGCTTTGTCGCAGAAGCGTAGCCCCCCCCCCCCCCCCCCCCACTGTGGTTCCCCCACGGCTAAACACTATGATTTCTGACTGCACTGTTACCCTTGTTAGCACTGCCAGCGCTGTTAGCACAGTTATCACTGTTAGCAGCCCGGTTCAGCTGTCTCCATTTTGAGAGCTGTGTGGAGGCAATCCCGGCTCAGACTCTCAATCACAGACATGCTCTGAATGTCGTGTATAGCCCCCTTTTAAAGAAAAGCAGTGGTGAAATGCAATGAAGCACACTTACTTAAGTACTGCACTTAAAGGAATAGCTTGACGTTTTGGGAAATACGCTTATTCTCCATGTCTGTGCGCTGAAACATGAAGCTACAGCCGGTTAGCTCAGCTTAGCATAAGTACTAGACACAGAGGGAGCCAGGCTAGCAGTTTCCAGGTTTCCAATGTTTGTGCTAAGCTAAAAGGCTGTTGGCCGGTACAATTTTGATGGTACAGGTGCTTTACTTGAGTTTCTCCATTTCATGTTATTTACCGCTACTCCACTTTATTTATCTTAGAGATTGAATTCCTAGTTACTTAAAAAACTAAAATTGTATGTTTTCATTAAAACATTATTAAATTATGATATATTTTTCCCCGCAAATATCTCCTCAACGAGTTGATTTAGAATAACCCATTTATTTTTTCAAATAATCAAGTTTTATTTGATTATTCTAGTGCAGAGGCCGCTGCAGTCAGTTCATTTAACATGTACATTTCAAATAACAAGCAGTTCAAAAATACTCTTCATGCCCTAACAGTTTTTAGGACATAGAAATAGCCAGAATTGTATTTTAAAGATTGAGGCTTTTGTGCTGTTAGATTGAACTGCCGACAGCATATAAAGTAGTTCAAATGAGCTGCACTTCAAAAAGCAAAATAATCTTCATTACAGCACTTTTACCTTTAATACCTTGAGTAAATGTAGCTGAAAGTTACTCGTAAAGAGTACCTTTGTACTGTTATATTCTTATTTAGGTAAAGGATCTGTATACTGAAAATATAACAGACGACGCTCCCCACAAAACTCAAAGTGAGGCTGTTTTTTTTTTTTTTAACCCCTCTTCTATCCTTTTTTGTTTCCCCAAAACTTGCTCCATCCTCACTGGCCCTGCTCGGTCACGTGACCGGCCATCGTGCAGATTGTATTAAAGAACACACCCATTGACTCGACTGTAACTCTAACTGCTTTGCTCCAGTACAGGATAAGGAAGCACTGACACCTTGTGGCTGAAAAGAGAACTGGACCTTTGTCCTTTGTAACACTGCATTTATACAAGTTCACTAGAACATGGAAGACATGGGTGTTGTAGTATAAAACTGATAATATTATTATTGTGTCCAGAATTCCAGTCATGTCTCCCTGGTGCTGAAAGTAGCCTCCTGCTTGTGTCTCTAAATCTCTTCAGTGACTCCTCAGTATAACACAGCTGCATTATTAGTAATTTGCATTATTACAAAAATTTGTCTGAAGTTTTCTTATGAACAGAACCCAGAAGTTCAGCTTTCTATAAAGTTGATATGGCCCATGTATTAGCAAATAAGGACGTGTTTTTACAACTATTAGACATGGAGTCATATTTCTGTCTAATATTCACTCTCCTTTTAGCTCTGCTTTGGTCTCCAACTCCTCAATATATATATCTGGCTCTCTAGCTAGTTTCTCCCTCTCAACTCGTCAAACACCTACATTTGGTCAGTGGCTCTACGCTTCAAACTACGACGCTCTAGGGTCCCCTCTAGCGTCAGTTTGGACGTGTCTGGGACGGCGTGTCAGTTTCTACTTGTTACATGCAATGTGTCTTTTCAAAATAAACTTTCAACGTAGGTTTGCTTAGGTTTTAGGTCTACTGACGCAATTGGGATTAGGAAAAGATTGGGCTTTATGTTGTAAATCAATACGTTTGTTGCGTAACTGGCATTAGTTAAGAATGACAGTACCGTAACAAAAGTAAGGTATAATAAGTCAACTTTGTCTTGGTTTCACACAGGACATGGACAGCGGTCTCCTGGGTGAAAGTCCCGTGTTTGTTTGACTCCTCTAACCACCACCCTTCCCACACACTCTCTGTCTTGATACTATGTCAGTTGCTCTGACCGTCTCATAAGGATATTTATATTTAGTTGAAAGCCGGGTGGCTCGGTGCATCGCTATCAGATGCCAAGTGGGCACCGGCCAAGCGGCGGTATTTGAGTTGAGAGTGAGATTGGTGGGTTGACTTGACAGCTAGTTTTTTTCACTGAAAACAACTTCCTGCTGCTGGATGACAGCAGAGTTTTGCGGGGCTTGAAAACCAAAACAATGAACTAAACGAGGCTAAAGAAGCTCAGTAGATGCTTTGTGCGGATTCCTCACTATTAGCGACCCCTTTGACATCGGTGATTTGATCAATTGTCAATAAAAAAAAAATCGATGAGTGCAGCTTTAAAGCCAATTTTTCGGTAAAATGATGGAGACATAAAACATTTCGTCAGGGAGCTCTTCTCAGCGTCTGTTGTGTTAGTTGTAGGCAGATCCAGGAGGACGCGGTCTGCTCGCTCCTATGTGACGGGGGATCAAAACCAGCAGCTATTCAAAGGTTTTCTCCTCCCCTTAGTGTGAGTATTTGAAAGTCAAACTGAGTAGCAGCGGGGAAGACACTCTGTCGTCAATTCCTCTCTGCGCGCAAGCGAGGTGTCACGAGTATTATTGAGCGCGAGGTTCCTGGTGGGAGACAAGTTACTGTCAAACAACTCCTATGCAAAAAAAAATGTAATTCAAATAAAATCCCAGACTACAGCTTTCACTTCGGATGCTTATAGGTTTTTTGCAGTTGACGGGGTTTATCCTACCTTGATGGGTGTATTGTGTAAAACTTGTGTACATTAGTCCAAGACAGCGCTCACTTATGTCCTCTTTTTTTCACAGCATTTTAAAATGTACTCTAAATGAAACTATTGTAAAAGAAATATTAGATATATATATATATGGATAGTATGCGATCATATTTATTATTTCCATGCATCTATGGATAATACATGTGTTTTCTTAACTGTCCTCTGCCTTAACTATAGTAGCTATAGAAAAGGGACCTCTGCCCGACAAAGCAGGCGTCACTAGACCGTATTTCTTCTTCTTTCCTCTCTAAGCGCTGACACGGAGTCGTGTCTCGTTACTGAATGTGTTAATGCCGCCTCAATGTACAGTAGAATGAAGGTGACGCCGCTGTTTTGGGATCGCCCGCCTGCTTCTGGTGTCGTCGGCAGATGTTCCACGGTGTCTCACTGCTTTTTTCTTTTTGCAGGAATGATAATGATACACGTTCTTATTCGTGTGGATGGTGCCTTTTTTTCTTTGCTTTTTTTTTGTAGTCGTTTGCCTTCTGAAGATGTCGTGGGAATCTGTTCAGGTTTTATTTTTATTTTGTGTTTGTATATTGTCAGGCCCTCCCCCTGTCAGCTCTTTGGGTCGATCTAATGTCCTCTTCTCTCCTCATTACTATGTAGCATATTGTTATCTACGCAATGTGGAAAGCTAGCAGCTAATTATCCGTGTTTTATTCCAGTTCCTCACACCACCGACGCGCAAGTATGTTTTGAAATGCTGTACATAAAGAAAACGCATTTTAGAGAATTTCTCATTGAGATACAATAACTGTCTTTTTAATGCACTGTTGTTGCTCAAATATTTAGTGGTAAATAAACAGAAGTATTTAATGTTTGTTTTTTTATGTCTTGGTTCAGACACTAAGTTTCTGGCAGTGCTATGAAAGTTACAATGCTCTTAAGTGTGTGTAGTGCTCTCAGCTCACACTGCCTCATTTTGATAGTATTGCATGTGCGTGTGCGTGTCTGTGCACACGTTTGAAATATACACACTGGCCTAAATGTATTGTCTTTTCATAGCATTTATAGATAAGGCAGCAATAGCTCAGCGCAGGAAAATAAAAATAGAAAACGTTTATTTAGCCGCTTTTAGCAAACTTGTCCAAATTTCACTGTTAAATGAGAAAAAAAAGTCATGTATATTTATTTTATATCCTCTATTATAATAAAAAAAACAACCTTTTTTTTTTGTCTCAATCACTTTCTACTACAGCTCGTGTGTTGCTGATCCGGTTCACCACTTGATGTCACCCAAGGGTGACTGAATCTGAGTCAATACAGCACAGTCCTCTTTAAAAGGCTGATTCACAAAACTACTTTCAGAAAGTCATCTTGTACTTTCAAAGGACCACTGCATGTTTGTTTAGTTTTTTACATGTTGTATTTTCCACTAAAGATCAACTTATTAGCTTGTTTGGAGCAGTTCCGAAGGGGCAAATGGAATTTAGTTTGTGATGGTCACAGCATTGAAAAGTGACATTAAGAATACATCATCTAAACATGAAAGGGCTATGTCTTACTGCATCCCCGTTACTCTCTATTAGTAACCAGAGCCAGACCTCATCAAATAATTATCCAGAGTAGCCAGGACATTTTTAAAACTTGTTGCTGCTGATTTTTCTTTTCAATGCTGGGAGCATAAACCTAACTCAATGTATTTGGCTAAATATCCCAAGAGGTAAATGGGAAGGTTTTCTGTATTCTTTTGTACAAAATGTAAAATTTAGTCCTCCGTTACAGTTACGGGTTCCGTTAAAGGGATTGGAATACAAATACAACACACTACTAGAGGTAGGTAGTCCATTAAAGGGAACATTTAGTCTTATTTTGGTTAAAGCACATAAAGGCTAACAACTGTTTTTGGAATTGGTCCAGTATTAAGTAAGTAAGTCAGTAAAATGTATTTATGTAGTGCTTCTCACAGACTGTCACAAAGTGTGTTGAAGGAGAGCGCTGCAGATGGCGGACGCTTCACGGGCGGCAAAATAATCGCTCATGGCCATTCCTCACCGCCATTGTACGTCCATTAAAAGAACGCTTGGTTTTGCCACTGACGGGCTCAGATTGTTATTACATACATGCCATTTCCATAATGTCTGACAACATTATGGAAAGGGCCCCACGGAGAAATACAACCTTTTTCTTTGCCTTTCGCTCCATCCGGTCCGCGTTCGCTCGGGGAAGTCTCGTTCTGAAATCTCGCTTCGCAACCACACATTCGAAACCGGCCAAATATGTATGTGCATTGACGGTGAAGAGTTGCATTGCAGTTCGAGCTCTTGTTAAATGAAACTGCTGTCCCCTGTAGTCACTTAGATAAAAAACAACAACATGGGAAAGTAGGGTTGAAGTTACCCTTTAAAGTGCTAAACTTCAGAACCAAATGCTCCTTCAGATGCACAAAACAGAGACGCAAGATGGGACATATGACAAAGATATCAAGACACGCAACATGTAACAGCAGAGCCTGCACATAGCTGTACATTCTCAGAGACTTAAACACCGCGTGCACCCTGCTATACTGATCCCATTGGTGTCTAAAGGTTACACACACACTCATTACACAGGAGTGCCATGTGTCTGGCGGATTCGAGCACTTATATCCACCATCAAGACATTCCACAGGATGCGTCAACTCAAGTGAGCGCTACATTCAGTCCTCTTTATGGGGCTGGCGGTTTTCACAAGTGAAACCAGTGCGGGCAAGCTGAGACTTGGCGCCGGCCTCGTGAGTTCTGGCAGAGCTCGCGGATCGACGGGGCCTCGGCCCGCAGCGTTGCTGCCGCCACTTGAGGGAATATTTATTGACTTGGAGGGAGCTCAGCAGAACGTGTTAACGCAGATGATCCCATTTCCTAGTCGGGCTCCCGAGGAACAAGCACCCCCAGACCTTAGACCTTAGCCCTCACCCTGACAAGCAGCCGCGTCATGCTGGACAATCCCCAGCAGACAGGGACCAGGGTGTCTCTGCACTTCACAGTTTGTCATACTAGCACTGTGCAAGATAAATGGCTCTCAACACGTTCTGAGGTTTCCATTTGTCCTGGAGAGAAAACGCTTTGGTCTAATTTGAATTAATGGCATGATTTTAGTTTGGCTGTTTTTATTCATAACTCCATTTAAGCACTCCGGCATGCAGGTACATGCAACTTACACAACCCATGACATGATACAACCTGGTGTAATATGGCTTCAAATCAACATCATTCCAACGAAACATGCTTTAACTTTAAAGGGTTAGTCCACTCAAATACTAGAAAGAAGAGCATGCACCATAACTGATGGAGAAAGGGCCCAAGTTCACCTTTAAAACATCCGCCTGGCTGTATTCTCCATTCTTCTTATTGTCAACAAATCCCCTGAAACAATGTGTTACTGCAATAATGGAAATCTTGGAAAAAAAAACAAGTTATTAAATACTTGATTCATGTTTTTTAAAGGCTCAGTAATTTCCTAAGACAGTTGGGCTCTGTGGTTTTTAGCTAATTATACTCAAACAGGAGGAAATAGTGCATTTATTGGGGGACTATTTTCACCGGCGGATTCATCCAAGTTCGGCACTCCAGTGAGCATTTGTGATGGTAGGACAGAGTATGTGGGATTTAGCTACAGTAAACTACAGTGTGTGTAAATGGAAAGGAAGGAACATGTCACCCAGTGCAACAGTGTGGCTCACTGATGTGTTTGTTATAGTTTTTGTACAAAAATGGAGAAGTATGGCTCAGAGGAAGACGATATATCAGCCTTTAATACATGCACATTAATTGTTAGGAGATACATTTGCTAGTTTGGGTCTTTTTATTGGATTTTGTTGGCAGAAGAAGAGGTAAGTTGGAAAGTATACGCACATTAGCGCAGTAGTTTCTGATCCCTGAACTAAAGGACAGTTACTGCCCGTCCACACTGAGAAGCTACGCATTCCAGTGAACAGGGGGAACCTGTAGTGTAAGTAGGCATCAGACAGACGGATACCACCATGACAACAAAATGGATACATCCATACTTACTATTAACATTAAAGATTTACTGTTAACATACTTACTATTAACATTTAAGATTTAAGATAAAAGAACTTCCTCTATCATGTTTCATAATGAAGCTCTTATTATTTTCTGGGATTTAATGAATGTTATTCAAACAGAAACTACTGACTTTTTTTTGCATTTGTAAAGATTTGAAAATGGGTTATTTTGGGTACATTGCATGTTTACAGTAATACAGTACCAGTCGCCACTTCTGACTCTTGGCGTGGGATGTTAGACTGTTAGACTGATGTCTTTGGCTCCTCCTCCTCCTCCTCCCCAGACTCAATTGTGTGGTGGAGTCGGTGTTTGTGCCAAACTATAGAATCTGGATGAGTAGAATGGTGCACTTATTGTCCTGGAAAGTAAAATAAATCAGTCATTGTGTACAGTCACTGGGAGATCACTGTTAGCCTTTTTGTTAAACTGATGGAAAGAAAAGGGGGCTGACTTTTTACCCTCCCAAAAAAAAAGGAGAATGAATGTCAAGCCGATTACAAATGGCTTTTGTGTCCTAGTTCAAGAGCCTCAGATCTAAATAACTGCACTAAAGTTAAACATTTACCACATTATCTACCATATTTTCCCCGGTGGACTCTCGCTGCCTTCAAACGGGGGCGCGTTTACCGTGTCACGACCTCGTAAGAGGAAAAAGCTTACTTCTCTTTCTCATTCTTCAGCTTCATCCCTTTCTCTCTTTCTCTGTTAGATTCTTTTGCCATCCGACTTTCCTCGTTTCCTGTCATGTTTTGCTGACGTGAGCGGCCCTTTTAGACCTGCGCGTTCTAATACCCATACTACCATACTACTCAGTACCTCAGAAACAAAAAAAATTGTAAGTTCTATGTCAAATGCAGTATGCGAAAAACAAACAGGATCTTCTACTGCACCCAGTTGCATTTTAGCCAGCACAGTTTTCTGACTAATCTGACCCACATACAGTATATCCCTGCGCATCCAACGTGTGAGCAAGAGGGTCAAACTTCAGGGCGCAATATGATGACGAAGTAGTATGTCCCAATCTAATGCAAGCCGGACGCAGCAGAACATACTAGTCAGAGGATCACCAAAGTTCTGACGATGAGCGAAAGTCCTGAGGGGAGCATGAACGTCTCAACCACATTTCACTGAAATTCATCAAATGTCACTAAAACGCACAAACGCCAACCTCGTTTGTGGCGACGCTAGAGGAGAAGTCTAGGATGCATCCTCTGGAGAGCATGAATGTCCGTAGCAAATTCAGTGGCATTCTATTAAATGGTTGCTGAAGAAAGTTCATAAGTTTCCATAATAATGGTGAAAATGAAGATAAAATCGTTCTGTCGAACATCGAAAACCACCTCCATTCTAAACTTCCTCAAGCCCCGATCCACACTCTCTAACATCATCAACATACACGGTTGCCATTTTTGCTTCTGCTACAACACATTGCTGAGCTGCAGCTCCACGCGTCCTTTCTATCCGCTGCAGCTCTAAGCGGGAAAGTGCCGGGCCCATCCGCGGAGTGTCAGTTTGACCTTAAGGGTAGGTGATTGGTGTCTGGAGCTCCGCCATCACACCACTCACTCCCAGTCGGCCCTCAGAGCAGCCTCCAACCGCAGCTCCATGCTTACACTCCACAGACCTTGACATTTCAATTGCCTCTCAGTAATAAACTCTTTTCCTGGATCTATGATAAATAGCCACGAGATAACCATGACAGTTCTTAGCACGCTTTATTATATCCATAGAACTTTCTATGTGAGCATCATCAGATTTGAGTGCAGCATTTGATACAATTGAAGATACAAATCTTAATCAGAAGGCTTGAGGAATGAGTGGGTCTCTCTGCTTCTTATCTGACGAAATCTCTAATATCAAATGAAACAATAGACTTGATGATATAATTTAAAGCTATATAACATAAATAAGATGTGCACAGGAAACTGCTCCCTCCACTGAGTGAACAGTAACGCAGCATGGATGAACTTTATTTCGACTTTACCAGAGTTAAAAACATTTAAAAATCAAACACATAAAAATATCTTTTATCAAAAAATACATGAAAAGGAAATATTCAAAAGTTTAAGATGATTTAAATTTTTTTTTAATATATTTCATTAGAAAATGTTATATGTTTCTTTTAGGGTACACTAGCTTCTACTGTATATATAATAACCTATACTATAAATATATCAACATTTACAAGTCTAACATTGGATATTTTTTAAATATTTTTCATACACTTTAATTTTGATGGTGTACTTATTGAATTATTCATAGTTTTGGGATTTTTTAATCCTCCTGGGGAAAGGATGGTTACAGCCGAGTCAGTGTGAAAAGAAAGTCCATGCTTTCATATGTCACTTTTGTAACTCCGTGCTCTCTGCCCCCCCGTCCCTTCACAACACTGTGTCGAGCTTGTTAGCACTGGGTGCGTGTGGCCATGCGGACGAGCACAGTTAAAGTTTGCTTTAAGAGGGAAATAATGACCGGAGGACCAAGCTGCAGAGCTAAATCTAAACTGCTGACCCATGACAAGCTGTCCTCAGACCGTGAGAAACGGGCCTCTTTCCATGCCAAGAATGTGGGTGGCCCGGCACTTCTATCTGAGGAGTGAGGGCCTGTTGCAGCACTGGAGCGCAACAGCAGGTTTTTAGTTTTTATTCTTTTTAATGTCTGATTTGTCTGCTGCGCGATGTCATTCTTGTAATCTTGTGTCTATGTGTGGCATGCACACGGGGGAAATGTCCACTTCCACTTGTTGGGCATCTTGTGAAATGACAGCAAAACTGGAGAAATGCAAAAACATTCACAAGGTTCAGTCACTGGAAATTCTTGAGAATTTTGATTCCCCTGGCTTTTTTGTTGTTTTTTGCTGATTCACAGGCCTGACACATAATCCCCCCCCCACACACACACCCCTAGCACAGCACAAAGTGTGAGGCATTGTGCAAAGCGATGAATACTCTGGTCACAGAGCATAAGAGGCTGCACTGTGCCACTGTGTCAGTTCGCCGCTCGCACTGAAGGGGATTTCAGCTCCCTCCGGGGCTTCAAACCCAGAGGGCCAAAGGGGTCAGGGTCTGTGCGAGATAGCAGGGGGGCCACGGTTCTGTGTGTGAGTCACTGCATTACGCCGACACACGAGACGCCATATGTTTTCCCACCCAGGTCAGTGAAGAACAAATGCACCGTCCCTTTTTTTTTTCAGAAGAGTTCCCACAAGTGTGTGTTTTCTCACTGCGGAGCAAGAAGCAGGTCAATTATGTCCTAAAAGAAAAAAAAGAAATGGGTCCCCTGTTGATGATTAAAACAGTTTGTGTCGAATATTAAAAAGTGGGTGCAACGTTGCAAGAGGAAACTGGACGGTTCTTCTTGGACGACATGGTGATTCCTTGGTAGGCAGAAAAAGTCTCGACCTTTTTTGATGTGACAGCAAAACCCCTCAACCGATACCAACCCCAGAACTCTGGAGGCACAGCAATTTATTACCAAAAACATACTTTTATGGTCCAACAAACATTTCACCGTTGTAGGGCTTTTAGTCTTATAACAATGATGGCGCTTCAACTCTAATTCTGATCTCATTCCCACTTTAAATTTGTTGCCGAACTGCTACAAAGTGTATTTTAATTGTAATATGTGAGAAACATTAAAACATAAATCAAATTCCAGATGGATTTTGAAAGTTAATGCTTGATTTTGGGATATTTTACAAGAAAAAAATCCAATAACTCAAAGTCCTCAAAGTTGCCATCAGTAGATCGCTAATATTTTTGGTCTGGTCTCCATATGAGGACAATTTGTTGTACAATTCTGGAAATTCTGAAATTTATTTTGTCCATATTTTGGTAGCTGTGGTCAACGCCGATTGGCTGCACCCACAAAGGTCGGCGCAGCTCGGGTTCAAAGTTCAAACTAATTTGAACTTTCGGCGCAGCCTCGCCTGCGCTTGACCCACCGCGCATCCGTGCAGCAAAGCACCGCATACAGTTCACTGTCACTGAGGACCCGCCCCCCAAAAAAACCCACTTTAGGGTTAAGATTCATCCTCTGGGAAACATGAATGTCTGTGCAAAATTTCATGGCAACTCATCCAACAGCTGTTGTAGCAAAGTGTTGGACTGAGAGACATCGCTATGCTAATAGAGCCACGCTGCTAATTATACAAGTGAATACTAAAAACTGAAAAAAACAAAACATACAATGATGGAATTGTAGAAACACACTCTGCGCTGATGCACTTTCAATTGCTACCTGACAGCCCTTCCTCTGCCTAAGTGGTCGAGCAAAGTGTGTTTATGCTTCTCTGATGAGGGAACACATGGTGATTGGTCTTCGCTTGCCAGATTTCGAACACTCACCCTTTTAGTCTCGCCTTCCAACACTTGGACTACAGCACTCGTGCACTGCAGAAAGCACCGCAGCAAGTACTATCCGGTTAAATAGTTTCAATGCAGACAGGAGGACATGCAGTCATACACACAGTTAGTTTAAGTCTTGTTTGAGCATGATGTGTTTTCAGGCCTCTGGAGGCCGCAGCGTCGTCTTAACTGCCTCATAACAGACGAGTCAGAGAACACGACAGACTGAACTTTAGAGACCACATTTCATGTTCATGCTTTACCGACCGATCTCCTTTGTCAGCATCCTACAGATAAAAAGGACAGCAAAGGCAGGAGCTCTGTGACGGTTGGTCAAAATGTCCCACGGACGGAGCGCCAATAGGCTGCTGTAAATGAGACAACTTTGTATTTCACACTCGAGTATGAAATGCGTTGCTTCCTTTTGGGTGGGGAAGTGTTCATACCCCGACACTCGAATTGCATTTGGTCAAAATGTAGCTTATCTGCGAGGTGTCAATAAGTGATAACAGGAAGCTGCTTTCTTACAGGTATTTCAGGGAGGGAGACACATTTTCTCGTTAATTTCCTGCCTACACTCAGCATTTGAATGCATGTCAATGTGAACAACAGTTCCAGCTATAAGAATGTAATAAGGTGGGAATTTATTGATTCAGGTGGGGAATCCTCATTTTGCTCACATGTCATACCACTGGATCAGCCCTTCAGCTGGATCAATAAAGAAGCAGACAGCTATCACACCTCTTGCATAGTTTTTCATTCCACAAACCTTAAAAAATGATCTGAGTCTTGTTTAGTTTCTCATTTTCTAGCATCTTCTGCAGCTGCAGGGTGCTCAGCTCATTTCATGCAATCTCAACTCTCTCCTCCCTCTGCACAACTTTGTGAAACTTAAAAAAGAAAAAAGAAGAAGAAGGAGAAGAAGAAAAAAACCCAGCTCTTCCTCTCGCGATAGTAGCTTCCATATGCAGCCGCCATATTCTGTGACAGTATTTTGATTCGTATCTGCTGGAAGTGAGGAAAAAGAGAAAAGTGAAGGGCTGTCGAGGGGAGGGGGGGGCTGAAGAAGAGGAGCTGTCAAAAAGTTGTTCCCGAGTCTCTGTCAAACGGCGGAGAGCTGAGGCTCGGTATCCCTCCCCTAAACGCTATTGCGAGGACACTCAAGGCCCGGGGCCTCGGTGCAGTTGGCTCTTCGTATCCCTGGTAGTAGCTGGACTCCTCTCGGCTCATCCTCTCCCAGCTCCGCGGCCCTCCGGAGGTCCGGCGGCGGTCTCGGGTGTTAGAAGGCGGCCCAGGGAGCGGAGACGGAAAGGTACGTTCCAGTAAGTTAACGACACTTTGGCCAGTTAGCAAACAGCCGGAAGAATGCCGTTATTACTTGCGGTACTGTGAAATAAAAATGAAAAGGAAGCATTTGAGCAGCTCGTGCGGTACGCGCTTTTATACGCCGTCACATTCAGTTTGAAAGAAAACTGAGTGGAAAAAAAGTTTTCAGATGTGGAAAAAGTTTTTTGTCTACAGCCAGCAGCTAGCTAGGTTTGCGTTAGCTCACTTGGAAGTGTTTGGAGGCTGTTTGCCGTCTCGGCGGAGTTGTTAAATCACTGTCTTCAGTTTAAAACACGTTGGGTAACTTTCCTCCGAAGTCCGCTTTAACGTGAATATCTGTAAATGGAGTGTATGGGTGTTTTTGTGCTTTAGCATTACGCTGGCTGACGCTACATGTTTTGTAGCCCATGTTAGCCTCTTTTTTTCCATTGAGCTACCCTCTGAAACGTTGTGGATGGAAACGTTAAATCAGAAAACTGTTGCTTCACTTAACCTCAGATACGGATACTTTTGTATCTCCAACAAGCCTCAAAATGAAGCCGTTACACCTCGATTATTATCTCTTACCCCTATGCTATAACACTATTTTTTTGCGTAACGTGGAAACGTTCTCATAACTTCAGCAACGTTGAGCTAACGTTGCCAGTTCTGTAAAGTTGTGCGTCACTGAATGTATCGTACATGTCGGCTACGTTAAGCCCATGTGTGCTTCACTGTAGGCTTCCTGTCGTTTTCATAATAAGACGATGCAAGCAGAGCTCACTGGTTGCACAACTGTGGCCGAGTGCAACTAATGGAGACACACGAAACTCACCACTGTGTGTGTCTGGTTGTTTTTTAGTGAGTCACCTCACCTGTCTCAATAACTTTATCACATTGTACCTCCTGGATCAGATGTTCCTGGTAGTTGTGATGGAAACTTCTAAGGGGGGGGGGGTCCTGAGCCTTTGACAGCCAAAATGACAGCTCAGTTGTTGTTGTTTGTTAAAGTTAACCAGTCATGATTTAGACTTTTCTTTCCTGTTCGATTTATTCTGGTGAAGCCACCCAGATGGACAGGGAAACAAACATTTATAAGTGTTTGTTTGTAAGGCAAGAGACAGGTAATCTTTGAGATATTTTTCCTGGCTTTGCATCTACTTTTCGGTTATTTTCATGCAGTCTAAATTCTATTTAGCCATGCTGATTGCAACCAAACGTAACACAAATACTACCGTATGGTGACAGGATTTTTTTTTGTTTTTTTTGGAATCGCATTGTGTTATAATAAAATCTATCTTTCAATTCATGGTAGCGTTTGGGCCATTCTGGTGGTCTCCTTGGAGAGAACCCCCTTTGGGTGTGTTGAGAATCTGTTTCTCCACGCTGTGTCATCAAGGTCTTCATATTTACATCAGCCACCAGTCAAAAGATTCAACATGTTGTTTTGGCAGGTGATCGACCTCTGTCCAATTACTGTTTTTATTCTAAACCTGGCAGCTAAGGAATGTGAATTGCACCTCGAAACACCATTTGCGATACTGGTAACGAACAACTCTATACCTGACTGTGCTTTTTTTAAATAATCCAGGCTTTCTCACTTTAATCCCCATTCTCAGCGCACGTTGGCTGGCTTTTCCGTTACGCTTCGAGTTTATTCGCAAACGCTAAAGAGCTCCGAATCGCTTCTCCGTCGGCCTCTAAACACCTCCAATCTAAGCCGCGCTGTCGTCGCAGCCAGAGCGTTTGGAGTGTATATCGTTCATTAGCAGCTTGTGCCTGTCTTGACTTGCAGTCAACATTGCACTTCCTGACCAATAAGCTGCCGTGGCCAACTGTTTATAGGTGCAGACCCCTAACTGAAACCATGTGTGCCTGTAGCAGGGCAAATATGTTGCTAGGAGGCCTCGCTTCTTTGCCACTCTTTGGAGACTACGCAGCGAATGCTCGCAGCCTGTATGATAAGTGTTAAATCAGGATTTTTGGTGAGGATCCGTCACACGTACAGGCCCGTTAATTGCTTTGTTTGGATGTCATTCGGCATATGCTAATTGGCTAAATCAACACGACTAAAAGCGAGGGCAAACAGATCATAGATCTAAACTCTCTAGAGCGTGTTGCCTAAGTTGCCTCGATGCTTGTTGACAGTCGGAGATCGAATTGGGCTCCCTCGATGTGCTTGCTTTTGTACAATAAACAAGCAGTACTAACACTTGTGTTTAAAGAACTTTTACAACAAGCCGGGGTTGTGGCTTGTCGTTCGCGAGGTCCGTGCCAATACTCGAATCTTCTTTCTTGAGAAACTTGTTTCCTGATTTATCATTTGTGGTTTGCGCAACAACTTATCACCAATCAGAGCAAAGGGGTGGGGGTGTGTAGTTTTCTCTTTTTTCCTTTTTCCCAAGGGGAAGGATAATTACTACATGTGAGTGTGTTTGGATGGAGCACAAATGCTTGTTGTTTGAGTCAGTTTAGCCCAGGAAACGATATTGGCTTACCTTTGTGTGTGTCGGAACACATTCTCTTTCTCAGAGAGGCTGCAGAGCAGTGTCGAGGTAAGACGGACCTACAATGCCAAATGGGAATGAAGTAGGTGGTTAGGGAAGGATCCATCACATTATGCCCATTGCTGCAGACTCAGGAAGAGGTTTTGGTGTTTTTAACCCTCCCCCACTCTAGTGTGTGTGTGTGTGTGTGTGTGTGTGTGTGTGGCTGTCAGGAAGAGAGGCTCTCATTGAAACCCCCTCCCCCTGTCGAGCTCTCCCGACTTCTCCGCTTTAAATGGAGTCCTCCATTACACATGCTGCTCGTGGTCCTCTCCGGTTCAGGGGTTAAACTGCACCCATCGGGGCTGACGCTGCACAGTCCACTGCACCTCTAGCTGTCGCCTGCTCGGCGCTCGGTCATTTTGCAGAGTGCATTTCTTTTCGTCCGCAACCATGATAACTCATCATTTGAAGTTTGCTTATCTGTTGCACTGTGTAGTTGTGCATGATTAGGAATTTATTTTTGTTCTTTGTTTTTGGCCACTTGAAGGCAGAAGAAGCCCTCAGCGAGCTGACAATTCCACAGCCTTGACAAGTTGTGACTTCATAATTGCCTGTTTGCACATCCACAGGACGCTGCATAAGCTTTGTTGAAGAAAATCATCATTCAGAGTTGTGTTTCTGACCACCTTTTATAGTCCAGGCTTACCTCACCTTTGAGCTTTAGTTGTTACATCCTAGGCCTTCTTGACCAGCTGGTCTCTAACTTAGTCTGTGCATGCTCGTCTGTGCTGGGCAGGTAGTCTACGTTTGGTTTATTACAGCTTGTTGACTGAAAACATCAGCCTGCTGCTGCTGCTGCTGTGACAACAGGGTTGAGGAGGTGAGGGGTGAAACTGAACCATACGGTGCATTTGTGGGCTGCGAAATCGAAACACTGTGGCTGAATGAGGCTAAAAAGCTCCATAAAGATAAAGTAGTTTGGTGATGATTCTCCAATTTGAACCTGAGCTGCCCCTTTTTGATTAGTGGATCTTTTTAATGTGGCTGTTATGTTACTTAACACTTTACTTATACGAAGTAAAGGATCAATCGATAAAATTGATCTCAATCAGGCAAAGAATGAGTAGTCCCATAACTCAGAACACAACCAATGATTCTGTGTCCGTTTGCATTAAAAAAAAAAAGTGTCAGACAATGAAGATGTATTAAATGGAGCAGTGATGTTCCTATTGTCCCAGGCCATTTCTAAGTGCCGCTGAAAGTTTCCACCTGAGTTGCTGGACACATTAGTGTTGCTCCTGAGCTCTTAGTGCCTCTTGTTTGTTGTCACTGATGGCATTTCTTAAGTTGTTTATACTCGTGCGAGCATGAACGGAGGCGTTTATACTCGATGCGCTGTGCGTTGCAGCATTCTCCCAAACGTGAGAGGACGTACAAACTAAAATGTGAATAATCAGAAAGACAAGTGTAACGGCGAGATATGCCCACAGACTGTAGGTGTAACTGGCAAAAAGCCCCAAACCAACCGTAACAGTGCAGAGGAGGGATTATTATCTGTAAACTCATATCTCATATTCATGCACTACTTTATTGCCTTTGTTCAAGCCCTGTAAAGAAGGAAGTCATGTATTAAACCCATCATAAGGAAACAAAGGTTGAATATCCTGTGGACAGTTTGATTTGGCTGCAAAATATTTACTGAAATGAAGATTTTTATGACCTCCTGTTTCTAAAGCATTTAAAAGTGACCTTTGTATAATCCCTAGATGTGTAAATAGTGCTTTTATGAGTGAACTATTTGTGACAGTCCCGCTTTAGACATTCCGGTGTATTTAGATCTAGAGGCTCTTTTCATTATACGACCGTTTGAGATGCTCCAACAACTGAAAGGATGTAAATGACGCTGATGTGGTCATTTTAATCCCAGTTTGCATAACAAAAACCCACCCGGTCCTTTTGAAGGGCTGTGGCCCTGGACCGCGCTCAACTTTCAAGATACTTGGGTGATAATTTGCGTGCACTCTCACTGCCGTTGCCCGATTTGTCGGGGCCTTTGTAGCCTACAATGTACAGATCCCTAGTAGTAACTCTAGCTTCACTGTGTAAAATGCTCACATTTTGGTTTTAGGCTTTTAAACTCCTTGAACTTTGCCACGCTGCACCGTTCTGCCGCTGCAGGCTGCTTTACCCATGCGATGCTGTCGGGCAGTTGGTTATTTCAACGCTGTGTGCGTGGAATTTGGTTTCCCACTCTGGTGGTCTTCTGTCGTCGGGCCTCACATACTGATTGAAGCTTGTTAGCAAGAACCGTTAGTTTCAGTGATGAATACAAGAAAAAGAGATCAACAAGTGCAGAAAGTCTTCCATGTCAACGGTGTTTAGAAATGAAGAATTACTGAGTTGAAATGCTAATATCTTTATTAATTTGCTTAAGTTTTGGAGACATTAACCCTCGCATCACCGAGGTGCACAGATGGGCGAATTGTTCGGCCAAATAAGTGAACTCAAAATAGACATCTTGTGTAGTT